AGTCATTATAAATCCGCCCCCCTTCCCCCCCTCTCACTCGCTATCCCGTGCAACAAATCCAGGATTGCAAGTACACCATCAATTATCGTGGAACAGATCAATGGATGCGGGTCGTAAGCTGTGACATGTTGTAACGTTTTGTAGAACAGAGATACGTAGTTTTAAAAAGATGTATATAACAAAAATCGAAATAAGATACTAATGTTTATTTTGCATGATAAATTATTCGATGAGTTCCTTGTGTCTCCAAATCTACCCTTTCTGTTAAATCGAAGAAAGAAGAAAAAAAAACTTTAATATCAACCAACATCCTTTATTACCACATCAAATACAAGATCTCAGTACTGGATTTTTGCGCGTCTGGTTACGCTTCCGTAAACCCTGTAGGACAAAGTTATCTTCTCTAAAATGCAAATTTACGGGTAATTCGCGAAAGAGCATCAATACGCCACATTTCACTCGAGACGATCAGCGCCATAACAGTGTTAATTAGGCTCTTGTGAAGGCGGCCTCTCTATAGGGAAGCCTGTAATAGCCTCAAAGACAACTCCCTCCAGCAGAGACTCGGAGTTCTCCTCCTCGGAGACCTGAGCCTCCTCCGACAGCTGACGTGGCGACGCCCTACACGAAGCGGTTCCGCCTCCTTGCCACTCTAGGGTGTTGTTTTCGTGTGCAGCCGCAGTACTCATGTCTGGTATCTCTGTTGAAAACGCACTCCGTCGGAAACGAGAGTCACGTTGCGCCTCTTTGCAGGGGCGTCCACGAAGTGAGGCTACGTCTAAAAAGTTCGCATGGGTGTATTTTATCGCCGGAACCACTTTATTAATCTCGATGGTAGCGACGGAAGCGGAAGGCAGGGCAGCGACCTGGTTATCGCCAGATTTTCCGTGGTAGGTGTCGGCAGCATGGGTTCCTAGCGGCGCTCTCCCTACGTCAGAGCACACTGCTTCGCCCCATTCGTAGTCGGCATTATAGTTTTCAGTAGATGGAGTATTGTCTGTATTACTTCCCTGACTTTTCAGATCTCCACCACTCTTGAATCCATCGAAGTCACAGCTGCCGTCGTAATCTTTATCCTCGAAGTCAGATTCATGAACGTCTACTATATCCGGGGAGTTTCCCTCTGGCCTCACATCCAGGTCTCTCAACAGTGACACAGATTCACTTCCTTTGGTGGTGCTCAGAGAAAGACTGGAGTTCCCCATGTCTGGCAGGAGGGTTTGAGGTTCCACGTGCTGGCTCGGCAGGGGGCACCACCAAGGATTCTTCCGAGCTGTAGGGTCGTCCTCAGCCATACTTTCCGACAGGTCAGCCAGGGCTCTCTCCATCAGCCGCTTGGTATTAGCGTAGGCCTCCTCCTGCTGCGACGTCGTCGGCGTTTGTGAGAGCAGGTAGAGAGCTTGATCAATACGCTCTTTAGAATCACTCTGGCAATATGATTCTAAATTACAATCATCGTCTGTAGGTAAGTCTTCTTCTACGGGAAGAAAGTCGGCCATCAGCTGACTTTCTTCAAGACAGTCCAGACGAGAAAATTGCAGAGAAGGCTCGCTGGGCGTCGGGTCACACAGAACGCGCGCCGAGAGGCTACCCCAGCTGCTCCCCAGTGCCGACACGTCCTGCAGGAGCTCCTGGCTGTCATGCGCGATTCCACCTCGAAGGATCTCCTCATTGTCCTCGTCGGGCGATGACGGCCCAGCTGCTCCTTCCTTATCTGCCTGCTCAACGATAAGCACGTCGTCCGACAATAGACTCTGCTCTCCATTGCCTCTCGGTCTGTGACTCTGAAGGAGTGGCGGGGAAACTGGAGTGTGTGCATCCTGTGCATTCAGAGCAGACACGCTCGGGCTGGGCTGTGGCTGGGGAGCGATGTGAGCAGCCGTCGCTCCTCCTGCAGAGTGCATCCGCAGGTCAGACGTGGCCAGTTTGAAAAGGAGGTCGTCCCTGCCATCATCCATGAACCGTTCAGCTGGCGAGTCGTTTCCCTGGCCGGGTCCTGGGCGTTCCTCGGCGGCGTCGTCGTCTCGGCACGTATATAACCTCTCCGAAAGCTGGTCCTGGCACAAGGGCCGCCCGGTGAGCTCGTGCGCGATCTCCAGTGGGATGGAGGCGCCCTGGTGCCTGTGCAGGATCGACCAGAGGTGCAGCGCCACGCGGTGCTCTGCCTCGGCCGGGCTGCTCGCCTGGCCGCGGAGGAAGAAAATGGTCAACAGGGGAAACTGGGGAAAAGTGTGGCCGGCGACTGACCCGCCGCCGGGACAACGTTCACTACGCTATTCGGACAATTTCATCAGTAAATATGGAGAAATGTATAGATCTTATTAAATTGAAAACACCAATGCAATGCTCTGCAGTAGTTATATACTCTTATTGTCTATATTACCATTTAAACAAGAATTAAAATAATATTGTTTGACAGTATGTGAATATAAAGTAGCTCATTCTTTAAGACACACAACAAAAGATACATGTATGTACTTAAACACATGAATGTACACAGACTTATAAATAAAGAGCTCTACATATACACACATAGCAGTGGCTTCGTACACGTCTATTCACTTGTTATCACAAACACACACCTTCCATGCTTGTATCTAAGAGCCAATATAAGAACCTATACACCCAGCGATGAACAAAAAAGAATGGTGTAAGTAAACCTCTGACCAAAATCTATTCCTCCGTTTAGAATTTTTCAGAAATGTTAGGCTGAACTTTACTGAAATAATTATTAGCAGGAGTGTCAATCTCGTGTCACATTACAGAGATTGTCGATATAATATGCGCAATGCAACGCTAATGGAAATAAAAAAAGAAGACTTTTGAGCACAGGGTCCTATTAGAAACATGCAAATATTCCTACACATAGACAGAGCAAAGATACACACATGCTCACATCATGGGATACACGCACACTTATCCTAAATTATGCACGCACATTCTCTTTAAAAGATCTACGCCAATCCACACTTACACGGAAAGATACACGCACACCTACACACACTCACTTTTTTATATTAATGCATATATCCTCACTTCAAAAAAAGTGCCCATTCACTCCAAACAATACATGCTCATCCACATACACTTAAGAATGGATAAAAAAAAAAAATGTATACCACGCATTCCATAATATTCACGCCCTCTTAAACGCACTCACTTCAAAAAAATGGTCGCACATTCACATCAAAAGACCTCACCTGGAGGCGGGAGAGGCAAGTGCCTATGAAAGTCGCATTTGTGGAATATTTTAGCACAGTCGCAACGGCCTGACTCACAGCCCGAACCGCGTCCTCCACCTGCAGGAAAATGGCATTACGTCATACATATTATAATGTGTTGATTATTATTATCAAAATTATCATCTCAGGTACTCGCTATATTAAGCATTTCTACCTGCAGGAAAATAGCATTACATCATACATATTTATAATGTATTAATAATTATTGTCAATATCATCTCAGGTATTCGCTATATTAAGCATTTCTACCTGCATAAAAATGACATTACGTTATACATATTATAATGTGTTAATCCTTATCATGCTCATTATCATCCTAGGTAATCGCTAAATGCAAATGTAGATGAATGTAGGTAGTTGCATATGCTATTCATAGTATTCCTTTCACATTTTAGAAGCAAAATTTTAAATTAATGGTCATTGCAACGGCGCACGTGTTCAAATACGAGCTGTCTGTTCGAAATTCAAACCAAATATTAGCTTTGAATATTTCCATATATTACTAAAAATCAGAAAATCCATCTACGCATATTAAAACAACTACAACAAAACAACAACAACAATGATAATAATAATAATAATAATAACAACAATAATAACAATAACAATAATAATAATAATAATAATAATAACAATAATAATAATAATAACAGACCTTCTAAAATTCAAATAACACAACACAGAAAACCAAAGAAATCAAATAAAAAAAACAAACAAACAAAAATAACTGCCATGTTGCACCGAAAAACCACGTGGCCAAAACAACAACAAACAACAACAAAAACAGGACTTCATCACTTCACATTTAAAAAACACACGTGGAGGAGAGTTTTTTTATTTTGAGGAAGAGAAGAAGAAGATAAAATGAATGAAGAGAAGCTTGGATAATAGACAGGTAAGTATATTAACTAATATCTATAAATATCTATATATAATTTAATTTTTTAAGGATGTGGTTATCGTATAAATAAAAAATAACGTTTAATATCTCTCCGCAAGTACATTACTCAGAGGAACACTATGATACTAAGCCAACACATTAACATAAAAAAACGAAAGAAAATAAAGAAAATAGCCATAAAGATTACAAAAAGAAAAGAAAAGAAAGAAAAGTAAAATTGAAAACAAAACCAATTACATTATTCGTAATTTAGATCGAAATATTACAGTTATTTCCACACCAGTACACTTCATCTGTTGCAGATTATTGAAATATACCTTGAAGTTGGACTGTGGCATTGCAGACGCCCTAAAAATCCACAAAATTAAGTAAAAAACGTCTAAAAATCGAGAAAATTAAGTGAAAAGCGCGACGATTCCTTTCCTGTCGCGAGTGAAGGAGATTCCCACGTGTATTTTTGTTTATATGTATGTCCTTTTTGGTTATTTTTTTGTTTGTAGGATATTTTTTTAGGGGGGGGGGTAGTGTAATTATCATTATTTGGATTATTAGCGTTGATAATATTATATCACGAAAGATGGTGAAATAGTCTTAAGGAAATATTTTGTCCTCGCTCTCTTCACCCTTTTATATAATCTCCTCTAGATATCCCATTTTCTACACGTAACGAATACCATAAACTCACCCTACACCTCAAAACACATCCTAACACCAAAAAAACGACACCAAATAGCACCGCAGACCCAGAATATAGCCCAAATAACACAAAATAACACAAATAACAGAAACTTT